AAAACCCCCCCCCCGTTTTTAGTTTTATAAAGTAATTTAAAAAACCCCCCCCCCCCCCCCCCCCTAAAAACCCCAAAAAACCCCAAAAAAAAAAAAAAAAAAAAAAAAAAAAAAAAAAAAAAAAAAGACTAGAAGTCCTCCATGTTAAATACAAATCAGTCAAAATGTTCTCTTTATCAAAGTGTTAAACAATTTGCTTGGAAAAAATCAACTCAAGACACTTGCGTACACTACCTTTTACTGATGAACATTCTGTTCCCATTCACATACAACATTGGTGTTGGTTCACAAGAAATCAATCTCAGCAGAAAAGCGAAGTACGAGATAATTAACAATTCTTTAAAATGGCAGTGTGTAGGGTGTCACTGTGTAGCGAATGCACAACTTAGGCGCAAATAAAATCAAAAGAACATGCTATAAAAACCAAGAAGGATAGTAGCTGAAAAACATCACATGTATTATTAACAGATTATGTGGTTTCTACTATAAAAGGCAAATTATGTCTGTCAATTTACATGCTACCAGTTGGCAAAAATTTTGTTAACTGCATGAAGTACGAGTAGTGCATTTCTCTTTTACAAATGACCTCTCTGGTTCAATATTTGTTGTGTTCCTGGTACAAACAGAATCACAAATTTGTTCTAGGGAAATAGGCTTCAAGACTAGGCAAGTCACGTGAAGTAACTACATACAGCATTTTGTCTGAAAAGCCAATATTTCTAAGAGTTACTGCAATCTCTGATGCCGTGTCCAAAGAAAAAAAATCTGTACTGACCATACCTGTAATTTTTGCCTGCAGAGGTCTTCTGTGCATCATGTAAAATCAACCTCTCATTTGTGACCAACATTCCTTTTTAAGTTTCAGTTCTCTAAAGAGATGGTTTATGGACAATATACAACCAATCTTCAATCTCTTAATAATACTGTCTCATGCATCCCATGTACACATTTGAGCAACAAGCATGATAATATCTCAGACCTTTAGAACCCTCAAATACTTGTACACAAATCTTACTGCTCTTCCATTATCAGCAAATTGTCCATATCTTTCCGAGTCCTCTAACCAAAACTCAAAAGATTAAAGTAATCTTGTACTTGTTTTCAAAATCAGTCTATAAGCAGTTAAACTTTGTAACAAGTTTAATTCACACAATTATTTTATGGTAAAATTTTAATGGTTCTATAACAAGGCAGTACATTAAAGTTCCACAGTTCCAAGAGTTCAACTGATTTATTTTAAACTTGGAAATACTTCCCATGCCTACAAAAATAATCTCTCTTTTACATTTTGGTCGGGTTCTTATTTTATGCCTACAATACATCTCTATAAAGATGAATAGAGCGAGAAGCACAGAGTGAGCTTGTGGTTAATAAATAAATAAATAAATAAATAAATAAATAAATAAATAATCTGTTGCTTAAGGGTGTGACAGCATAGCCATATGTGTTTACCTTCCTTTATATTTGTAAATATATATATATATATATATCTCTTTTAAGTCTCACAACCCTCTCTAAAGTGTTCAGTGGTGGGTTAGGATGGTCAGCGGTTTTGCACAGATTAAATGCAACTGGTATTTTGATACAACCCCCCGATCTTCAGTGTCCAAATTTTTTCTAAAAAATTTACCAGCAGAAGAGTGCTAATAGTAAAGTGAAAAGATCATTTATCATGTCAAACAATGTCCAACACATTTATAAAATATATAGATATATCTTGCTGCATTTTTTTAACCAACATTACTAATATCGAGTCTAATAAATAGGCATTCGTGGTCATCATTACACTTAGTGTATGTGTCACTGACATTTCTACCTGCCCTAATTTCTTCTTCAGAATGGAAATACCCGTCTTAAAGACAGTCTGTGGACGGGTCTATTCAATCCATGGAGATAAAAGAAGTGGTATATAACCCAGTCTCAAGAAAACACAGTGACCGTGTTGTATCAAAATAAATTTTACTTAAGAGCAGATAAGGCAAAAGTGCATTTGCATGATATATTGGGAATATGAGTTACATACTCAATTTTCATAACAATACAGATTTTTCTTTTTTATCTTTTTTTTTAATCCTTATTTGGCAAACAAAGCAACTACAGGTTTTGAAAGAGATTTAGAGGAATATGTGTGCACTTCTTTTCTCTCATAAAAGGTGTTTAAATAAATAAGAAAAATTACAAGATAAGACACATATTGCTGAAATATTTAGACCAATAAGCAGTCTATAATTCACCAAATACATGATGGTTTTGCACTTGTAAATGGTTTCACAGGTGAAAAATTAAAATGGCTTCATCAGCTGTAGTCGAGAGCAAAGAATTCATGAATCACTGGTGTGCACACTTATTCCTCTGAACCCAAACAACTGATGTCAATGAAAGTTGAATCATGAAGCACAACCATGGACAAAAAAACACATACAAACATGCAAAGATGGCAAAATGCAGATAAAATTATACAAAAGTAAATTCCATTATTTCACGGTTTCTACTGCAATTCAGAATAGCAGAAAAAATATAAAAAAAAAAATCAACAAAAATGACAAAACATAAAATACTAATTGTAGGTGTCAGTCATTGGCAGTCAGCAAATCGACTTCTTTCTCTTGTCACAACCTACAGGCTTTAAAGCCTGTCTTTGATACCTTTCATTTTTGAGTGAAGTTTTAGTTTACCCAGAATTCATGCGACAATATGGAAGACAGTTCAAGAGCAAACTGATTTGGTGTTCAAACTGCAGCATAAGGAGTATTGCATTATTGTGACAAAATATCCCTGCTAAGACCACATACTATGATGAAACTTAACTTGTCAAATAATCTCTTACAATTTCTTTCCTGTACATTTTTCAACTCAAATATCTTGTAACACTCTACCAAGAGGCAGCGACTCTAACCGGTCATGTTAATTGCACTTCATATCAAAACATTGCACGCCACAGGGATGGACTACTTTTTCTGCAGAGCAAATTGCAGTTGAACCAATGTAAAAATATATACTGCCACACTCAACACAAGCTTTATCTGGGACACAACATACTGGCAATGGGTGAGTGGAATGTACAACTTTCAATCAAGATGTTTTCTATCAGATCTACTTAACAAAATATTTTTGAATGATTTGTTCTTCAATGCTGTGTCACTTCCTTCAGTACTGTGTATTAAGTGTGGCTGTGTTCTTGGAACTGGAAATACTGTATCCTTGCATCTGGCCTTTCTTGTCTCTGTGAGTCTGCTACTGCTAACTACTGCCACCTATGGGTCAGTCTCATAGTCCTTTAAACGACAACAGCCTTATCACTGATCCTTAATACGGTCTAAACCACGCTTTACATAGTAGACTAAATGGCGCAAATTACCATGCATCACAACTTCACCACATTCTCGATTCAGTTTATCAAAGAACCCTGAAATTAAGATAAAAGAATGAAAATCATCATGGATATCTCCTTCTACTGCTTTAAAATCATTATATACCATTTTAAAGACTAACAAATCATTTTAGAAAAAAATAAAAAGAAGTAAATCTTTTGAGCTTTTGAACTTTCTTTATTTTTTTAAATTTTTCTTCTTTATATCATGGCACTCGGAGAGGCAGGTATGCAAACACAAACAAGAGGGTACACACAAAACACACACGTTCAATTTCTTACCTTTGTTTTCTATAGTTTGCATATTGGCTTGATCCCAGTATTCCTGTGCCTGCACGAGGAAAGTCGTGTAGTTAAGGTACTGCTGTGTGACGGAATGAATTCGCTGCGGAATACTCACAGTGGCAGGAGATGACATGGCGGCACTGGCACTGCCATTGGTCACCTTTACAGCACCAATTTCGTTATTGCAGCTGCCCTGTGATTTCACAAAAAACAGAAATATATATAATTTTTTTAAGTGATAAGAAGAATGTACTAGATAAAAAAAATTAAAGAGATTTCCATTCATTCATTCATTCAGAATCTCTTGATTTTACAGCCCGTCTCTTTAAATGACTGCTTCAATGGTATAATGGAACTCCGACAAGTGTAAATATGGCAGCGTAAAATAAAAAAAAAAAGAAATAATAATACATCTTTGTGTGGGTTTTTGCAGCAGAAGGCAGGGAAAAGGCACAACTGTGCTAAATGTCCTAATTTGTTTGATTCTGGGACACAAAATCTGATTACTGGCTCCTCTAATTGGATTATTTTCTAATTTTTGCACAACAGCATGAAAAACCAACATAAAATATTGACAGGAAAAAGAACCTCAACCAATACTTCTACCATATAAATAGTTTCTGCTTAAGCTCAGGTCACTTTGTAGAATATCATCAGTCAGACATTGTCTACAATATACTTTTTCTGGCCAATATCATAACCTTCTTTTAAACAAACTGTATCACTGATCTGGTTAGTCCACATGCATTATATACCATTACCTATATTCTGTTTCAGGTATGTGATGAGATTCAACTGCATTCAGAAAGCCCATCTTACAAGAAACTTACAGAACACTTTTTCTTGCCAATACAACTTTTTTCAACAAACTGTGTCACTGGTTGTTCCAATATGATAACTTTTTTAAAAACAAAGTGTGTCAATGATTATTCCACATACCTGGGATCCCACTGATCCAATGCTAGTGATGCTGGCTGGAGAAGGTGTGGGAGACATTGGAGATGGGGTCCCCGTGCTATGCTTATTCCAGGGCGACGGAGCCTGGGCGGCTGACTTGGGTGCCGATGCTGCTGACTGGAAGACAAAAATCGGAGACAACTGATTATCCAAGGCAGCTGACGAGGACAAGAAACTGTGTTCCTGTTTTAATAGTATAGTCAATGACTATTTTTAAGGTTCTGATTAGAAGGGAAATGTAGATTTCCAAAATACTCACTTTCACTTTGCCCTAATTTACACAGCTGCAGCCCTCACATTTTTGCAATATTGACACAAGCTGTTCCAAGCTAATCAGAGAGAACAGGGCTTATTGACTGGTATAAATGCATGAGGGTAATATGCATAAATGACATTACCAGAATACAGCTATTTGACAAGGGAAATGCTGACTTAATTCCATTATGAGGACTGATGCACTGTGGTCATCATGGCTGTTTTACCTTGTAGTGGTCATCAATGATGGACTTGAGTTTGAGGACTTCAGTCTTCTTGAACTTGTACAACTTGTAACTCAAGAGGGACTGGATACGAAGACTGTAGGGAAAAACATGACTGTTATCACATTTATCAACTTTATTATCTTGTCAAAGACTTTTGAGCTATTCTTTCAATAATAAATTATGCATGGAGGCTAAATATAATCTTGAAATTTATGTCATCTCATGTTATTTTATGTTATGTTATTTCAGAGAAGGCTTTTTGACAAAATGGGGTATATACACAGACATTCTCACCATAATACTGCAAGTTTCTTGTAAGATGGGCTTTCTGAATGCGGTCGAAACCTCATCACATACCTGAAACAGAATATAGACAATGGCATATAATGGACACATCAAATATTGAGAAAGTTGCACCACTCTCCAAAAGTCCAATGCATCTTTTGTCTGACTTATAAACAATAACAATAAAATTATGTTTGAAGATAAAGAAAAATCAAAAAGATTGGTTCAACTTCAAAACTTGAGATTATTTCAAAGTTTATATCTGTATACATGCAAACTGTAGTACCCATCTCAGTGTCCATAATATTTATTAAACAAGGACACCTGGCCTTACTCTTGGATTCTCTCTTGCAACATCAAAACTACAGAGATTCTTCAGAAATATCAGCAATCAAAGGAAGAAATACAACCGATTTCTTTGACTGGCAAATGTTGAACTTCAAATAAAATTCTACAATGAGCTGAAATCTATGTGAGACTTACTTGACTAGACCTAGGGTTTGCTTGTACATATTGAACACTGCATTTGGGTTGTTACTTGTGTGGTCAACTTCCATGGCAAACCCACACAGGACAAAGTTTAAAATAGCCTCCATGAAAGTGTTGGACTTGGCAAGCTTATCGCTCTGAAATGTGAATTAATTTGAAATGAGATTAAAAAAGCATTTCACTCTTTTGGTACTGGAAAACCTGACCATGTGGGTTGAAATTGAAACCCAATCATTGGTAATGAAAGAAAGGAGGACTAACATATTTTTTCTTTTTGCTGGTTCAGTTTAATTGTCATTTCCTTTTATTTTTTGTTTTCTGTTCCTAAAATCTTTTAAGAAAACAGCATCAAGTCCTTGTATCAAACAGAACTGATTCTAACTGAAGATTTATTTGTGTGTCAGATAAAAGTGTTTTCTTACATGCATACCTGCACAAGCATGTATAATTGCATGCGTGTGTAACACTTACCATATGATCAGCTAAATGCTTGAGCTTCTGAGCCTCTTGAAGATAAAAGCCATGGGATTGCCTGAAATGTCAAAACAATAACAGACATTAATCATTAATGCACAACTACCTTCAGCAAAAACCAGCAGTGGATCAATTTTTCTGTACACTGTCTAGTATGTTGCCATTCATGCACAGAATTTTGACAAATTGATATTTCATATCTCTGACTGATACACAAGGCTGGCAAATGTCACAGAAGCATATGTTGTTTACACAACCATGAAAGTTTATGAGCAAACAGATCCTTCTGATTATAAATCTCAACAAAGCTTTGTATGTCTGACTTGATTTGTGCTTATTTCTACATGTTTATTTAACTATCTGTCCACACACACACACATGTGCGCGCACACTCAGAATCAGTTTCATAGGACTCCTGTGTACTAATATATCTGAATATCTAATGACGTTTAATGGTAAGAAGCAGCAATAACTCACAACTCTCCCTCCTCCCAGCGAGGCACCGAGTGCTGCTCAGGGCGGTGGCGATGGCGGTCAGGGTAACGATCAGTGTTGTTACTGGAGGTTTCCCAGGCAACCTGCAGGAGGTACAAAAATACATGCACTAAATATATATGTCACTCGGCTCTCATAAAAACCTTGAAAAATTAACATCTGAACAAAGAAAATTCATTTCAAATCTGTTAAATACTCGTAAATGGTTTCACTCATTTAACTTCAGTGGTATTATGATTGGGAACAATTTTTAACAGCCTGCCCAAATTTTTCATTCATTAACCTCTGAGGATGGCAGACCTTTTCAACCACTGGAAAACAAGTGTTGATGAAACTGGGCCATTTTCTTTTTTTCTTTTTTTTTTTTTAACCCAATACCTGTTTCATTTTCCTTTCACAAACATTTTTGAGGTTCCCTCACCACTTACCCCATTCTTCTCTTTGTGTGCTCTGGCTCTCCTCTCACTGTGGATTGAACTGGCACGACTGGAGTTGCTGTCAATGCTGTGTGACCTGCGATGATGTTTTCTGTCCCAAGAACGGTCATCCTCATGGCTGGATTTTCTAAAGAATATGGAGTATTGTTTACAAAATTATGACCTCTAGTTTACATAATCATAGACTTCCCTGTCACAGGTATTGGGTAGAAAATAAAATCACAACGCAATAAACACTGATCAGCAATAATTATAACATTTACACTGCATGTATTTTTTAACACACATCATCACCATACATAAATGGGGACTTACAAAAAATTTTGATCAGACGTCTTTTCTTTTGAGCCTAATATTAATAAACAGACATCTTGACAAACACAGCTCAAAGCATTTAATCAAAAATGATTTGTCAGTCTTCACATGTGATGCACTTTTCCAACTCATTAAACACATGTGGGCAATCTACTGTAAAAGCAATTTCAGATATAAACATAAAATGCCTGTATCCCTTTCCCCCTTTTTTTTTCAAGCCTGCATGATTCAAGAGCTGGTAGACAAACTTGCTTTAATCAGATGCAACAGTCAAATGACTGCCAGATGCCTCAGATGTTACAATTTACATAAAATACATCAAAAGAAAGATTTTCTCCAGAGCCAGCCAAAAAGAGGTCCAATTTCAAGCCAATAATTTATCATCACATATTAAAATCACACATTTAACATATTCCCTTTCAGTTTGTGACAAAGTGAAAAACCACAAAGCAAGAACAAATTTTTAGAGAGTTTTTACAGGTTAACAACTGTTTTAGACAAAAAACTATCATAGATAAATTCTGTGGCACCACATTTAACTGTAGAATTGTGACAAAGGATATCATCTCTTTTTTGTACAGTGTAGCATACTTACTCCTTTTTCTCCACTCTCTCCCGCCCTGCATCTTCACCCATCTCTAAGCTCCGCTCTTGTCTGTGCCGTTTATGATCAAATTTGTCATCTGCCTCTCTCTTACGTTTGGGGATCTTAATAGAAGGTACGTTACTCCCCCCTATAATTTTGGATATAATATTAGCATCCTTAGTCCTTTTGTCCTTAATATCACTGTCTTTTTCAAATTCAGATTTTGTTTCATCTTCACTTTTTTCAATATCCATGTCATGGACCTCAGTGTCTGTTTCTGGTTGTTTCTCCTCAACTGGGTTATGAATCTCCCCATCCTCTGCCACATCAGTGGCTTGAATTCGTTCACTCTTAATCCCTGTACAAGACGTCTTTTCAGAAATCTCTGATAACTCTGGCACTACTTTTTGATCACTGGAATTCTCTTCAACTTTGACACTTACTGGCACATTAGGAACTATTTCACTCGGAGACTCTGTCCTGTTTGGAGATTTGTGAATGTTTTCGCCATTACCCCCTTTCAAGGGAGAAGACACTTTGCCACTAGAGGGCATTGCATACGTTTCTGTCCTATCACGCGAGGTCTCATCTTTGGTGGGTACTGTTAGTCTTTCAAGAGGAGACATAGGTGGCGCTGGTAACATTTCCATGCTGCCAAGAGGGGACTCTTTCCCTTCTGGTGACCCTTTTGATCCATTTGTCCTCTCATCTGGAAAAAGATTCATCATAATTTCCTGTTTTAATGGCATTGTTGACACAGATTTTTCTGTCACCGACTTCTCCTTTGCTCTTTTCTCTTTATTCTTTCTCTCACGATTTTTCTCCTTTTCTTGTCTTCGTTTCTCCTTTGCTCGCTCTTTATTCTCCTTCTCTTGTTTCATTTTCATTTCTGCCTTTTCCTTTTCTTTTTGCTTTGCTTCTTCTCTCTTTTTACGAAGTTGCTCCAACAAACTGAGATTTAACCTGACTAGAACGTGCGTTGCACTTTTGTCATCTGCTCTGCTGCCCTTGTTTGTTCCAGCAGGGTCCTTTGAGCATGGCAGTGGTGATAACAACATGGGGGGCAAGAGCGTTTTGGACTCGGGTATAACACAAGCTAAACCATTATCCCCATTCAGTTTTGTCACAACATCCTTGGTTTTCTTTTTGAATTCTCCATTCATTTTCTGTGGTGACAAATCACCCTCGATGTCTACAATCATATCTTCCTCAGACTCTGAACTGTCGTCTGTGTCCAATAATTCTTTGGATTTGATTTTCTTCCTGCTCTTTCTTTCCCCTTTTGAAGTCCCATTGTTACTAGACTTTGGTGTCTTTTCCTTTTGTGATTTAGAATCAGAGGTTTTGCTGCTTTCCTTGGTGGGGGCTCCATTCTTTTGTACATTCCCAGAATCCTTCACATCATCATCAATTCTCACGAGATCCACTGTCATACGACGAGCACCTTTCAATTTCTTGCCCGTTTTTCCTCCTTTGCTTTTTTCACTGGCATCCTCACTGTCTGTTGATTCAACTGGAGATTTCAACTCTGACTGGACAGACTTCCCTGTCACAGCTTGCTGATCTCCCGTTCTACCATGTTTGGGTTTATCAGAAGACACAGAGTCAAACTTCAGCTTCAGCTTAAGGGCCTCTTTGGATTTTTCATCGACTGTTGTGGCTGACGGAAAATGGATTTTGGACTTGTAGACAGGGGTCTCAGCAGGGAGCGGAGACAGCAGATCATTCTTCACAATGGGAGATAAGAAATCCATCTTAACATCCAAGGGTGAGGCAGGATCAGTTTTGATGACAATTTTTGGCGGTTCCATTTTGGACACGTTACCAGTCCTGTTGGGAGACGAAGACAATTGCACCCCATTTTGGCTGGGTGTATGTTTTGGAGACCCATGAACAATTTTTGCTGAAGCGGGCAAGATCTTTTCTTCCTTAACTGCATGTGAATCGGTTTCATCTTCACCCTCATCATCAAAGATGTCATCATTGAATTTCAGATCAGCTCTTTCAAATTCTTTGCTCCTTCGAGCCACCTAAAAATCAAAACATTTTGATAGTGAGCTACAGTATATGATACAAAGATTTTGGTATGTATTTGAATAAAGATAAAAAGCACAATACTGCACATATTATGAATATGTTATAATGAACAAAAGATTCAGAAACTATAACAGACCCAGGACTTAATGCCTTATTTGAAACAGCAATCATCAGCCAATAAATATAGAAAAAAGTTAATCTTATTTCAAAACTTCATTCTGAAATAGCACAATTTAACAAAGATGCTTTAGCCTTATATTTGTACATTGGAGCAAACAATGTAACAAGAGGCTACGGAGTTCACACACACACATGCATACACACGCACATGCACACACACATGTGCACACACATGCATACGAATACCTCACATAGACACAAACACACAAATGCACATGAACAACACATGCACGCACACACACGCGCACAGGCACACACACATACAGACATGCACACAAACACCACACAAAAATGCACACGAACACCACAAACACACACATCCACAATGACACCAACATACACACATCCACTACTGAGCCAATTACCCTGTCCACCATCTGGTCCAGCTCCTCAAACAGAGCCTCATTGCTGCGGTCCATGTGCGCAGTCACCATCTCGCTGTCCACGGGGTCAAGGTCAGAGGTCAGCAGAGTGTCCGCGCCAATGTCCTTTTCTATACTATTGACATTATTGTCACGAAGGAATTCCAACTTCTCTTCCAGTGGATCGGCTGGCGCTTTCTCTGGCTTGTCTTTCTTGATAAAGTTGAGCAGACTCCAGCCCCCCTGTGCTTGCTGCTAGAAGGAGACGGATTTGAATTATGTTAATATCATATGAATATTATATGGCTTATATCACTTTTAGGATGATCTTTATTGTGTTTGAAATTGAGACTCCTCTGCTATGAAAAAGGAATGAGACTTAAGTAAATGATTTGCTTTATTGAATATTATGTTCATAATCGCGTTGAAAAAAAAAACCATGGCCATCAGATGTTCAAGTTGATGAAAATGTGCTAAAATAATTCTGCTATGATGCATACATTTTGCAGATTCTGTGCTGAAACAAAAATTGAGGACATTTGATATAACCTTCTAAAACAGCAGACTGTCATAAAAAGTGCTGAACCCACTTTGGGCCTTCTCATCAATTTTTCAAAAGAACCTGGTCTGCCATATGTGTGATTTGGTGTACTTTGGATAAATGTCACCACAACCCTATAATATGCAATGATGAATCCCGCATGTATGTTAATAACTTAACTAAAATATTCCAGTTTTAGGAATTTTGTTTTTTTTTATTTATTTTTATTTTTTCATTTTATAATTATTATTTTTTAAGGGGGAGGGGGGGCAAATCAATCTACTGTCCACTATGGCTTGATTTGGGAGATTTTGTCCAGGTGTCAATGTTTCTAATATTTCAATGGCCAGGGTAAATCACTAAACTTTGTTGAGAATGACATAATTGGTCTCAGTCAAGTTACTGATATACTGAACCCTCAACAACACCTGGTCAACATGGCCTTCCTGACTGATGTCTCGGCTTGACTAGTTTGACATTTCTGAAACATGCTGTCCCAAATCATATCAAAGAACCTTTGTGTTGTATTAGAAGAGACTTAAAAAAGACTTGAATTTTGAATTTCTTTGGGCTTCTGTGACACCTGGGTTTTAACCTAGTTTTGCAGTGTACGCTTGGTTAAAATGGAATTTAAACCACACATTAAATGTAGGTGTAAAATGTGCCCATTGTGGTTATGATTCACAACTCCATATATTTATATATATTTATAAAATGGTTCCTTGAATGCTGTTGACAAATATTTCAGGTGTGTGCGTATGCATTTAATTTTAGCATTTCATGTCTACATTCAAAATGCTGGTCTATGATGAAGGCACCCATATAAGAATAGACACGATAGCCATTAACTGTCATATCCAACTCTCACTTTCCATTTCAACAATTTTTCATTTCTCAGAAGCCAAGCAGATTAAATACTGTGTATGTGACTGCATTTATTATGATATAATTTCACTTGAGTGCAATTGCAGTACTTATGGCATCAGGCTTAAAGAATGTTCTATCTGACACAACAAACACGGTTTCAAGCTAGTCTACAAACTTTAAATCCATGAACTAATTTTAATCAGTGCGGGTAAAAATATATTATCATTTCTTGAGGATCTCTGATTGTAAAATGTTATAACTTACTCAATATTTTCATACCTTATCATAATCATTATTTTCATTCTATCCGAAACAATTTGTCCTCGTGCTTACCTGAGCTATAACAGTGTTCAGGTCAGAGAGACACAAAAATGACAGATAAAATGTACTTACAGGCAGAGGCACAGCAGGTGCTTCCTCCTCTTCCTCCTTGGCCTTATTGTTTTCTGGCCCTGGTTTGGGTACCTTCTCCTCCTCCCCATCACTACTTTCACTGCCAGACTCCTCAGAGCTGCTCTCAGAGTCACTGTCACTGGAGGAGTCGGAACGCACAAGATTTGCACTGCAAAATAATACAATAATTTCAAAGTATTAAAAGTGATGCTCACAACTAAAAATAGTGAAATGCTATTTTTTCCCATTGTTTTTTCATCATCATCATCATCATCATCATCATAATAATAATAATTATTATTATTTTGAGAACTTTCTGCTATTACCAATATCTTCGATATACTTTTGAGTATGAAGTGATTATGTAATTTTATGGGGGGGGGGGGGACGGCGCGGCTACAAAAGTACTGCCCCCTGTCTAACTGATGATGGAGTTATATATGGACAGAAGTAGGTTCTTTCCCCTTTCCATGCTAAGACCACTGTTACTGTGTCTAATATTACACATTCCTTTCAACCCACATTTGCCCCAGTCATTTTCCTTCTCTAAAAAATGTAGTTTGATTCTCAAGGTTTAATAGCGTGGATTCCGAATCAACTCCTCCGCCCCCAATACAACACATGAGGTAGCAGCAACAATCCATATGTGTGGGCCTTAAGCTGTTTCACAGTCTATGCACATTTTCTCTCCCTGTTAACTACGTTGGATATTGAATCTTCCATTTTTGTCTTTATTTTGTTCTTTCAATATTACGTAGATTGTGGACAAAACCTGTTTAGTGCAATAAATGCACTCTATGGCATTGCGTGCCCCCACAATATACAACAGTATACAACAACACATCCAAACAGTATTTCTTGGGGCAGTAGTTACCCACTAATAACTACTCACATAATAAAGCCCATGCAGAATAATATTTTCTGATGCTGGGGTTTCTTTGCAATAAATCACAAAACTCATTCACTCAGTGTGACAAAAAAAATGACAACTGGCTATCTTCACGCCATTTTATATTCTAAGAAATTTCTACAAACTGTATTTTAAAAAATAATACCGATTTCCTAAAATACTTAAATTAGTGCAAATGTTTTTTTTTTCATTTCTTTCTTTTGCTTATTCTTGTGATAAAAAATATAAAGGAAACAAAATCACTATATAGTAAATAACACAGTTTTAACTCAAGCTCCAGTGATTTTCCTGCCCCAATAGTCTCCGCATGTTATCAGCCTGAAGTTACAGAACACATTAGCCTATTTCCCAAGAGCACCGGCACACACTCTGTTCCCGCGTAATGCTGTAATAATTGTCAGTTATTTTAATGGATTCCCCCATAAAGACAAAAAAATGTAACCTGCTCATAAAGAGACGTTTGAAAACATTGCTATATATTATCAGTCAGACTTACAAGCATAGCACAGCCCAGTTAACCAGACACAAGACACATTAATGCATTGATTAGTCTAAACTTGCCTACAAAAACTACTAGAATTTCCATTGTGGTTAATAACAATGGCTATTATTTCTCCATTAAATATACTGGCGCTGAAAGAGCTGCAATTAATGAATGCGCAAGTATTTTCATTTTGGTAATGAGCATCCATTCTGAAACTCTGTACTCTATGCTGTCGTTATTAACTTGCAACAGATCATGTCATTGCTTTTTAACCAACCATTACTCTTTCAATGGCACTGGTAAAATACCATGAATATCTGAATGAAATAATCTTACTTCCTAGTTTTGAACGTTTCTTTTTCTCCTTAAAAAATCTATTCGTTTACTAAACTATTTGAAATAAAACAACATCTTTCTAGTAATTACCCTTCTAGGTTTGTATTTGGAAACTATATTACTTCCCTGGCCCCATATTTCTCTGTGCCATTTATTAAAATGCATTCAGTCTTATTTTTCAAGTAATGTTTTCCTCGTGTTGCTTCCATTATCTTAGACACTGTAATTGTTTGCAATTTTCCCACACAACTTTTACCACCACACCCTGCGTGAGGACATATGCATCAATTTACTTTCATGCTGAGAAAAAAATTTACTGATAATCTTTTCAAAAACAAAACCACTTTAGAGGGATATTCTTTCAAGCTAGTATTTCCAATAACATGGTGCATGGCTTCATTGTTAACATATATCTCCACCTTTTTTCAATAACTTTCCCTAATTCTTCCTATGTGCAACTGTAAAAAGGCCAGTTTTATACAATGCAGCTTATGTATTAGGTCACACTTTAAAAAGTATCAGTATATATTTTAAAGCCATCAAGTCAACGACCACAATATTCCCCCCCCCCCCCCCCCCCCCCCCC